CAGATACATTCACCTTTCAAGTTACAAAGGCTGAGAGGCCTTTCACTCATTATGGAGTGTTGTCTGTCATCAACAGCCTTTATGACCCTTTCAGTTTGTGACACCAGTGACTATAAAAGGAAGAGCTTTACTGTGAGAAATTTCTCATGACATATGCGACTGGGACATGCCACTCCCTGAGGCCAAACACGAGAAAAGGGAAGTATAGAAAAATTCCTTACAAATCTCCATATACGTCCCACTCTCACTTTCCAGTTTAAAGTACATAGAGCTATGTCTGTTCTCAGATTCATCCAACACGTCTATAGCTGCAGTGGCCTATACCTTTGAGTCTTCACTGAAGAGGGACTAAGTCATGTAGGATTTGTTTTGGGCAAGGCTAAACTGGCCCACCATTCCACGCCTTGAAATGTGTGCAGCAGTATTAACTGTAGAAATTGCAGAAATAACACTTGTGGAAATTGATTTCGAACCAGATGCAGTCAAGTTCTACTGCGACAGCAAGGTAGTTTTGGGCTACATATTCAAAGAGACCAGGCGTTTCTTTGTGGATGTACACAACAGAATGCAGCGAATCCATCAAAGTACAGTCCCAGCACAGTGGCACTTCATACCAACAAACCAGAACCCAGCCGATATTGCCACCAGGCCAGTTTCTGCATCACAACTTGCTAAATTGCAATGGTCCATGGTCTGGTCCAGACATTCTGCACAAACCTCTCTCAACTAGGGGTGTAACGATTAACTCGTTTTCTCGATGCATCGATTATAGTGCTGCACGATTAATCATATCGCAATCGTTATCGCGATGTCAAGCCTATGCGATTATATGACGCAAAATACTGCGATTTTATATGAAATAAACAAATTAGGGCTGTTAACGCAGCATCTGTTATTTTTTGTCATCCTTTGGCTAGTGTTACATGATCCTGCTCTTATTCATGCGAATGCTTTAAACCATTTAGCGAGACAAGTCAAAAGAGAGCGCGCTGCCTGTGAATGTCCTGACTGAAAGACGCGCGCCAGTATCATGCGCATGCACCGACCGCGCGCCAGAATACAGTTCTCTCTCCGCTTGAAGTGAACGAACAATAACACACACAATTATGCCAAAATATAATTTGTCGAGTGTCTTCATAACATAAGAGCAGTCTTACGATGGTCGTAAAGAGTTGTGAGAGAATAAGGCGCGTGTGAGATCCGCGTCTCTGTCAGCAACTCTTAAAGGGCCAGCATCCAATAATGCTTTCTGTCAGTAAAGTTAATCAAAGAACAAAGGAAACAGAGAAAAACACTCACTGCTCTTGACCAAAGAACTTGTGTAGCTTTAAATAGGATTTTAGTCCATATAATTTATAATTTATGCAGCCCAGACTGTTTGATAACTATTCAATTTCTGTATATGTCCTACCTGTTAGACAGGAAGAGCACAGGTAAATATGACATTTATTATGGGTTTATGTGAGGATTGTTTGAAGTTCACTTAAATTAAAATTAAATAATTTATCCAGACATCAATGGCTTATTGATCATTATAGGTGTTATCAATCATTTAATTGTTGTTGCTAGTTTGAGTTGAGAAATACACATTTCAGAATTATCACTAATGTGTGTGCATTTTGCTTTAGAACCAAGCAAGTTGACTCATGAAACCATTTGTTTATTATATCGCAATCGCATATCGCAATATTGACCTCAATAATCGCAATATTACATTTTCCCCAAATCGTGCAGCCCTAATCGATTACAAATCCTGACGATGCATATGCATCGATCTTGAAACATTATTTTTTTAATCGTGAATCGTTGATTTCGGTCAATAATTTATCTAAAACGCTAAGAATCGAATTAATCGCTATTCGATAGTGATTCAGTGCTTTAAAATATATAAACATTAAATGACTACATGCACGAATTAATGGAGACGTTGTGCTCAGTCATTCGCACCCTCACAGCTCTCCTTCACAGATATGTGCTGTGCTGCACTCTTTATCGCCTTTCACTGATTGCTCTCCCGCTCCGTCCCCAGCTCTTATTGACACATTTTTGAGCAGCTCATATGTGTTCTCTCCTTTGGACGTCCACTGCTATTCACATGAGCAGATGACTGCTCTCTATTGATAGAGCAATTATAGTCCTGACTCCTGGATCAAATTCCATTTTGAGTAATACTGAACTTGTTTTTGTGCAAGTGAGATAAATAAATGCATGCTTACATTAAGTCTAGGGGCCCTATCATACACCCGGCGCACTGCAGCGCCAAGCGCGACGCAAGTGTTTTTTGCTAGTTTCAGCCCGACGCAGTTATCATTTTCATGTTCTGCGCCACGTTGTTTAAAGCAAATGCATTTGCGCCTATTTGTGTGCCCATGAGTGTGCTGGTCTGAAAACGAGGTGTGTTCAGGAGCATTGTTGGCGCGTTGCTATTTTGAGGCTACTGAAATTTGCACAGTATTTTTTTGTTATTTAAAGAGCGCGTTAGTAATGTGAGCTATAGGCGGGTCCACAACGCATACACTCTGCTTATTACACACACAGGGACACAGCAGCAGCACACAAACTAGCCAAATATTAAAAATAAAAGGATTACAATGTTAAAGATTAATATTGTGTACATAAAGATATGGTGGAACCCGGCTTGTCCGTAGATGGTCTGCTTGCGCGCTTTAACATCGTGCACGAGCAGATCCGTTTGCGTTCTGTTTTTCCGCTTGCAAATTCCGTCATGTAAATAGCGAATCCGCTATGGCGCGATTTGAGTGTACACAAATAAAAGAAGACATTTAACAGTTTTGAATGATGTGTAACACTTATATGTAAGACAAAAATCAATATTTTGAGTCTCTTTTGCACTGATAAGAAAAAAAACGAGCTGGTATCGCCGGCGCGACCGCCGACCCCAGAGGGTTAAAGGGAATGGGAGATGAGACTCAAAACACACCCTTTACTCATTAAGAGAATAGGGACAACCCTTTTAGACCATGCACCGTGCGCGCCGTCCATTTTTCCCGTCGCTAAACTAGCAAAAGTGGATTCGGACACGCCCTAAGTGCACTTGCGCCTTGCGCTTTAGACTATGCACTTAGATAGTTAAAATAGGGCCCTAGAATTACAATAACCATCATGTTTACACAGCGCACACAATGTGCGCCTCACTCACGATTTCTCTCAACATGGGGACAGGAGAGGTGTCAGTCAATAAATTGGAAAACAAAGTAACTTATAAGAAAACAAAGTCAATTTAAAAAAATAACTCCGCTATTTTGTTGTAAATTTAAAAGTAATGCTTTACTTTACTAGTTGCTTGAAAAAGGTAATCTGATTACGTTGCTCTCGTTACTTGTAATATGTTACCCCAACACTGTTCATGTCTATGACCTTCTGTGCCTCTCCCTAAAAGGAATGAAACTGAGTGTCTGACCGTGTCTACAGATTGTGCCACGCCGCACCGCAACAGCTTGAGGCTGTCACTGGACGCAACAAAGCGACTGTTGCAAATCCATTTGTTCTTCAGTTTGTACAGTATAAATCATTATGTCCAACGTGTGGCTATTATCTTCAACATTAATTTAAGCGGAAACTCCTGCTAATATGTAATGGTTTAAATGGACACAAATGAAGTGTTTGGCTACTGAATATAGTTTTGATAAAACAACGTCTGTGCTGTAGTAAATTTTATATTTTACAGTTTTATCATTTTATATTATGAAATTATAATTTATAATATAATTGTTTTCCATAATTGACACTACTATTCAAAAGTTTGGGACCAGTGACTTTCTTTCTTTTTTTTGCAAGATCAAAAGTGACTGTAAAGACATTAACATTGTTACAAAAAAAAGTCTTTCAAATAAATGCTGTTTTTTGGGGTTTTTTTTACTTTCTAATAAAAATGTATCACATGGTTTGTGTTTTTATGTTTTGTTTTGTATGTTTTCAGCACTGGTTATAATAAGAAACATTTTTGAGCACCAATTCAGCATATTATAATGTTTCACTGAAGAAGACTAAGGACTGATGATAAGAGAAATGTCTGATGAAACTTCAGCTTTGCCATCACTGGAATAGATATACATTTTAAAAATATTTTACAACAGAAAACAATATTAGTTTTACTGTATTTTTGATCAAATAAATGCAGCCTTGGTGAGCATAAGAGACTTCTTTCAAAAACAACCTTTTGAACGATGGTGTATCATTATTATTCAGTATACCCCTTTGTTTGCAGACTGCAAGAGCAAAAAAAAAAAAAAAAAAAAAAAAAAAAAAAAAAACCTTGCTTTAGCCAGGGCTACAAAACGACCTGACCTTAAAATGGAAAAAAAAATGGAAAGCTTACAGTAATTACAAACTACTCCAATGGTCCCACATCTTTTGTGGTTTTGTTGCATGCAGTTCCTTGAAAGGAAATGTTTAAACTGACAGACAGACACTAACACCCTGTTATATCAGTTGAGAAGTTGAGAAATCTCGCAAGAAAAGACTTCCAGACTAGTCTGCACATATGCTGACGATGCCTAAAATGGGTTTTGTACATTTTGGTGCACCTCCAGTATATATTTGGTCTAGGTCAAAACTACTATTGTGTGAATAGGATTGATTGAGCGTAACCTATTAACTTGATGAAACAGGCTTCTGTTTGTACACTCATGTCTTGCCAAGGTATTTATTTACCATTTCCTTTTGACATGCAGACAAAATCCATGAAAGGTTTTCCCCTGTGAAACTGAAAACTGAGAGATTTTAGAATATAAATGGTATAATGTTTTACTTTAAGCTGTTTTTATGCAAAGACTGTAATGGGTCTGGATTTTAACAACAGTTCTTTTCCTCATCAAGATTGTGATTCACATATTAAACTGGGAAACATTAGTGAGAGCGAGTGCATGGGGAAACTGTGAGACGGGCCAAAGTGTCAGAGCCTCTCTATTTGTCCAAACAGAAGGAGGGACTAGGAGAAGAAGGTGGGGACTATGCAAATAGATTGAGAGGAAGTGAGGGAAGACTAGAGGAATGTGTTGGAGATTTCAGGGAGAGTTCAGCTGGCCGGGAACGTGCTATCTGCCAAAAGAAGAGAAAGAGAGGGACAGATACTCACACTGAACGGGAGAAAACATGCCCCATTTCACTGTGGTACCAGTGCAGGATAACTCACCGTCCAACTATGACAGTCTGGAGGGTATAAACTGGGTGGATTACAGAGACACAGGACAGGGAGGATACCCTGGACATGGAGACACAGTTAGCTCAGATGGTAAGTTTTCTTTTCATGTATCACTTTGTGAAAAACATCCCTCTAAGCATAAAACTTTTGGTTTAACTACATCAGGAGCTAAGATTGAAAGTTTATTCAGTTTAAAAGTTAGATTTAACCCTAGTATTCGTGACAGACATCCTCAAAGCATCAGCTATTTAGTTATCATGACAATTGTTTTGTCACTAACTTCATAGAACCCACTGATTACTTACATCCCAGTTGTTGGAAAGTTTTGAGGGACCTTTATCATGTTGGAAAAGTTGCATCTCTATAAATGACGTATATGTGATGTAAGGGGAGGGATATAAAAGTAACTCAAGCTGAGACTCTTGGCACAGTGCTGACATGCCAGACACCACTGTGGTGACAAAGGAAAACTATCAAGAGTCAAAGCAGAGGCGGGACCGGGGGGTCTGCCATAATGGGACAGGCCTCAAGTATTCATGGACACAAAAGATGTAGACCTCTCTTTGTGCCAAGACAGCAGCTGAGGGTTTAACTTATTTCCTCCATATTTTCCATTTCATTCTCTAGCTTATTTTAAAAGAGAGAAACGGATTGTAAGACATGCAGCCCATGATTAAGAGACATCAGCATCTGTTTACTGCAGCTGTAACTGGCATGAGAGACCACCAGGGTTATATAATAGTTGAGTGAGGCTTTTGTAAATGGGATATGTACACCATCATATATACAAATATAAAGCCCATTTACTGTATACTAATATTTTACTGTTAGTAAGGTGAAGGGATAAATGCATTGCTCAAGCTGGTCTTTTCATGTTTTTGCCTTTAGGCTGTATTTTTATGTTGAAATGAATGAACAAAGTGAATCATTGAATGAATCACTGCAGGTGGAGGGGGGGGTGGGGGGGGGGGGTGCAATCTGTATATGCATTCTTCCCTTACAGCACACCATAAGGAATAACTATAAAGCTTATTATAAATGAATCATTGCAATAGCAGTAAACATTTTCATACGTAATATCAAATGTACAGCAAATAATTAATAGTGTGCAATCCAAATCAAATACCCCAAAAGAACATTTTTTTCTATATATTTTTTATAGAAAAAAGTAAATATAGGCCTACTATATATACAAAAACTGATTTTCACGTGACATATTTCCCATGTATTTTTGATAGTCTAATGTTATCACTGCCTCTTTATATTCTCTCTCGCTCACTTTCTCTCCGAGTATGGACATGACAGGCTGGAAAACCTTGATGTATCTGCATGCCTGTTTGCAAGTTTGGGAAGTACAGTAATTCAACATTCAGCATCACTTCAGCCTTTTGATCACCACATAGACATGAGAAAAGAGATATTTTGGGTGGTCATTGAGGTTGTAGATCTCTAAATACCAAATGAGTACCAATATGATTTTCAATGCATAAGCATAGATTGATGAAGAAGAGTCTTATGTGGCAGTCGCACTGGTCATTTAAATTTAGGAGGGGCAGAGCAGAAGAAGGGTGTTCACACTACTAACTTTGTCAGCTCAGCAATGTTTAAAGCAGTACACACTGCGGTCATTGTGCTGAAACAGGCCTGTAATGGAAAAGCATCAGGTCTCAGTCAAACCCATACACCATGCCTTACTTCCATGTTACTAAGAGGAAAAGAGACGAAGAGAGGGAAGAAGACGGATAAAGAGTATTTTTCCTAAATATATAAATATTGCACAGTTCTGTTTTGTGTGTCCAACAAGCTTTCGGAGTTCATTAGCAATAGCGTAAGCCAAGGAGAGACAACTTTAATCCAACAATTGTCAATTATGGAAAACAATTATATTATAAGAGACAGCTGTAGCTGCAGCACAGAATGTCTTAAAATGACTTCTCTTACTAATCTCATATATGAAATTGTTTTTTCTTTTGACTTCATCAGGATCAGGAACAGAGCTAAAAAAAAAATGGTATAAAAGCACACACTGATCTGCTTTGAAGCGTATGAGGGTCATCTAAAGCTTGTGCTGAATAGGGGCATATATCAAGCTCTCAAAATTAATACTTATTTTTTTTAGCAAGAAAGCATTAAATTGATCAAAAGTGACAGTAAATGCATTTACCACGTTAATATTTCTATTTAAAACAAATGTTGTTCGTTTAAACTTTCTATTCATCAAAGAATCGTGAAAAAAGTTGTCAGGTTTACACAACAATATTAATTAGCACAAATGTTTTCAACATTGATAATAATAAGAAAGGACCAAATCAGCATATCATTAATGATTTCTGAAATATTATGTGACACTGAAGACTGGAGTAATGGCTGATGCTGTCACAGGAATAAATTACATTTTAAAATATAATAAAATAGAAAACAGTTATTTTACATCGTAATAATATTTCTGTATTTAGTGTATTTTTTATCAAGACACTTCTGTCAAAAACATTTTTTTAAAACTTACCAAACCCAAACCTTTTAAACGGTAGTGTACCTGTTTAGATCAAGTAACTGTAGATGTTGTAAGCTGTATGAACAAGTTATATAGAAATTGTTCCCTTTATTTTGTTTTAAATTGTGCAATATTTTAATGCAATCATTAATTTTAATGCAATCATACTATTAATTATGCATGTCCAATTGCATTAAGTGTAGGGCTATCTTAAAGTATATTGTAATATAAAAGCTATGATTTGATAATAATCAATTAATTATTTGCAGGGTTTTATTGGCATTATTTACATGCCAATAAAACATTTGTTTCTAGGTTTTTTTTACAGTGTTGTTTTCATAGTACTTTTGAGTAAGTATAGTATATATTTTTTGCCTTTTGATAATGTTTTTAATTACTGGAGCTTCATACAGTACAGCTTCTTCTCCCTCATTAACGCACATCAAAGCCTTCGTACGTTCTGCTCTCCCAGCAGGGTCCAATTCCACAGGCTCATTCAACTGTACTCATCTAATTCAGTCTAGTGATGGGCTAATTGTGTAACAAACTTCTCTTCTCAGGAAAAACACTTAAAAAGGCAATCCATCCCTATCATTTGTAAAGGTTAAAAGAAACACTCTTGTAATAGTTTGGCTGTGTAATTGACATCATCTGTAAACTGTTAAATATTTATTAACAGGACTTAATTATTATTTTTATTAATATATTAATTATTATTATATTAATATTATTATTAATGCCCTCACTTCCATTATAAAGCTTGGAAGAGCCAGGATATTTTAAAATATACCTCTGATTGTGTTCGTCTGAAAGGATGGCTTGAGGGTGAGTAAATCACAGGAAAATGTTCATTTTTGGGTGAACTATCCCTTTAATGTGACTGTTCTCAAGATACTCACTGGAGCTGGTTGACTTGTAATGAAGGATCAGGAAAGTGTTGTCTGTGCGGGTGAATAGAGTGGGTTATGCAATTATGTAGTTTATGAGCACATTAGTCTCAAAATGTAAAACACCACAAAAATCACAGACAGAGGCACACAATAATGTATTAACATTGTTAATAATGTAGTCACACAACGGATATTATTATTACAATCATGTCAAGCAACCAAGTATGCCGTCATAACACACAGACAGCCAAAAAAAACAACAAAAAAACAGGGCTAAATCGGACTAAACAGCGTGACTTTGACTCATAATGAAGGCTTTAAATGTTTAATAAATGGGATTTTTTTGCAAATTTAATACTTAAGCTCCTATGGTTAATTTCTTCCTGAGGTTAATCAGCTTTTGCATTTTCCAGCATAAAAATAAAAAAATATGCATTTTGTCTCTTCAATATGTTCGACTTTGGAGGCTGTTTGCACTGAACCTGGTCTACATTTAGGCTATTGTCTGAGCAACAATTTGCAGATGTTTGAACTAAACTTTTCTGCTGCTGGTTACCAAATGTGCCTGAGTCTTCCCACGTACTCATGGAACAACAGCTTGCGTGTGTGATGTTTAAAGACTGTTGAAAACAACTGACTGTGTAGCATGTAAAAAAGTAACTATACAATCTTCAATGTGAACAAGTAATGTTCTTGTTCAGATTGGATAAATGTCTCTCAGACTTGAGCTCACACTAAACACTACATTTGTGTGGTTTCAGCTTTGGCTTTGATCTACAGCTTTTGGCATATTCCTGTTAACGTGTCCAGACCCGCCACCATAAAGCTCTTGCTTCTCCCTCCTGCAGACACACAGCAAGAGACATTCTGGGTGTGGGGCTGTCAAGTCATTTCTGTTTTGCTTTTCTTAGAAATAATTCGGTTAAATGCTCAGGATACAAATTGTAAACATCTTTGTAGTGTTTAAAATCGGTCCACATTGTATCATTACTGTAATACAGATTAAGAAAAGAACAGTTGTCAATGTATAACCCTAGATGGCAGCATTTTACCATTCTCCTTTTCTCATTTAATAAAGAACATGTTTCAATATAATAAAGAACATATTCCAATCCACCAGTGCAGAATGGCTGTTCCATTTTCTGAATTTTCAGGCATTTTATTCATTAAACGACTGTTTAAAATGTATTAACATTCTGGATTAGATGTTTTATGGAAGGTAGATTGTGATATTTGATGCGTTCTTGACCCTAAACACTTAGTGTGATTCTGCTTGCATATTGAATCCGGTGTGTAAGAATGTAGCATATAGTTTGTGAGCAGTCGATGTTCTCTGAATCTGACTTTTTACATATGTGTGTGTGTGAATATACTGATCCCCCTCGCTCTCTCAGTAACAGTTAATAGATCACATTGACCTGGATATAGACTATGACCACTGCTCAGAGTGCTGCCTGCCTTGTTGTACATAGACAAACATGCTGATCCACCACAACAATGCTAATGCAAACTCTACCTATAATGGCACATTAACCCTGGACACAGGTGAGTGAGACTTATAGGGGGAAAAAGAGATATTTTCTGAGCTTATGAACTGATTCATTGTAAACTCTCTGTAAATTATTCTTTCCCCTCTATTAAATGAGGCTCATGTCAATCCAAACCGCTTAAAACAGTTAGATGGACAGGCTAACGTATTTAATGTGGTTGTCTAGTGCAAAAAAAAAAAAAAAAAAAAAAAGGTCTAAGTAGGGCGATACAGACCAAACTGCTTAATTGTTATGAACCTGACAAATTTAGCAGTCATATCTATCACAGAAAGCGTATTAAGACTGGCACTGTATTTGGGTGCTTTGCTTGTGTTTGTATTGACATTTGTTGTGAAAGCAGAGAGTGTGAGGACACAAAACATTCAAACTGATTAAGTGTTCTGATTCAGTGACCTGATTAAAGGACATAATGAAATAATGAAAGAAATGGAGAGGGAGAAAGATTCAGGGAAGCAGAAATACAAAATGCGTTTAATGCTTGATGCCAATCTTATAAAAGAGTTCTTGAGGAGCTGCAAGGCATTATTTATTTAGATTCATTCAGTTCTTATTAAACTAAATCATTAAAAAAGACTATGAATTTAGCTTTATTATCTGACTACTGTTAAAAATCAATGTATAAGGCCCTGTAAAGATTGGGTGCAAAAAAAAAAAGGTTAAACTGCTTTTTTTCTTTTTTAAGAGTATATATAAATAAAGAGTTTTTACGTGGTTTTCTCTGTATCTTTACTGTATGCTTCAAAATGCCATTTTCTAATTGAAGGTTGGGAATATCAGCCTAATAAATATAAACAAAATCAAGATCTCCACACACTCCACACACTTTTTACATATGTGAAGATGATTCCAAAAATATATAATTACAATGATTTCATTTTACTCAATTGTTACACAATGGCACAGTGTAAGAGCGTAAAGAATGGGACATAGTGACATTAACTCAGTAGGCGTAGGACAGGAAATTACATAATTGTGGGTGAAAAAAGTTATTCTGAGAAAATAAACTCCACCCTAAAGTGAAAAAATTATTTGGTGAAAAAAATCATTCATCGGTTGAGGGGAAATAAATGTTACATAAAAAAAAAAAAAGATATCATATGTGAAATGATACAGTGGAAAAAGATAATAAAAACAGTCAAGCAAATTAAGGATGGAGGGGGGAAAAAGGAAATCTAAACGCTAATGGACACCATACACATATACACAAAGAAGATTACTTTCATTAACTCAAACTACATATCAAGGATACTGTATGTCTGTTAAATCCAGTAAATAAGTTGTAAATGCCCTCCCCCTCCAGGTCATGGCAATCATAAAGAAGACAGTCCCTTTCTCAGCAGTTCAGACTCAGCATCTAAGAGGAATGACTTCTACGACAGAAACCTGGCTCTGTTTGAGGTTCATTTTAAATTTTCCTTTCCTTCTCTTTGCAGTACTTAGTTCCCACTATAATCTAAAATCTCACTAATTTTAACATAATATCAATAACAACACATGAATAGTGGAAAAATGCTTTGTGTAGAATTCTGCTATACATCATATGTGGTACTGAGGTGTATGTTTCCTTAGGAAGAGCTGGACATTCGGCCGAAGGTCTCGTCTCTCCTCAGCCGGCTGGTCAATTACACAAATGTTACTCAGGGAGCCAAAGAACATGAAGAGGCAGAAAGTGCTGATGCATCCAGAAGACAAGTGCCCAAGGTTATTTAAAAAGTGAAAATTATATTTTCACTCTAACCAAAATAAAAATTAAAAAAGTCTGAGAGACTTTTCTCTTTCCTGCTTATTTCTCTGTAGTCTCCGAATATGGGCACGCTGATGGGAGTGTACCTGCCATGTCTGCAGAACATATTTGGTGTGATTCTTTTTCTGCGTCTCACCTGGATTGTGGGAACAGCAGGTGTCGTCCAGTCCTTCCTCATCGTTCTCATGTGTTGTTCATGCGTGAGTTACTGCAGACACACCCTCATAAGTATCAGGCTGTGTTTATCATGGCTTTTCTGCCACACTTTTGCCTGTGTATCTGTCCTGTAAAAAAACAGCCTGCATTGCATTTAAGCAGTTCGACACTGGCAATGGACAATTGTGAAAAACAAGACACAGACAGTAAATAATATAAAAGTATGTCAGTATGTCAAATAATATGTCTTCTGAAACAAAACAAATGATATGCTGTGCTTACATAACAGGAAGGGACTAGGGAAATAACTTAATACAATTCTTGGTATTTCTCTTTGTACCTTTGTACCTTGAAGAAAGACAACTTCTTAGAAAAATGTACCACTCTAAGCTTTGACCGCTTGGTACTACATCCTACAAGAGTGGTTTTAACACTTTCATCATGTCTAAAGACCTTATAATATTACTCTTAATATTAATATTACCTTATAATATGTACTTTGATTCCAAGTAAGACAATGAGTTTATGCGAACACATTTGATTTGAGACAGGATACCAGACGGAGATAAGAAAGATATAAGATACTATGGGTGTATTCACACCTGCCTTGTTTGGTTCGATTGAATCGAACTCTAGTTCGTTTCCCCCCTTGGTGCGGACCTTTTAGGCAGGTGTGAATACAGCAATCGAACTCGGGTGCGGACCAAACAACCGAACCGAGACCCAGCTGAAGAGGTGGTCTCGGTACGGTTCCAAACGAACTCTGGTACGGTTCGTTTACGGTGTGAACATGAACCGACCCAATTGCAAGAAAGCACTGCGCCTTTAAGTTTAACAGGCTTCCGTAGTCGGAGATTTTTGGCATAATGGTTTGTGTTATTGTTGTTCAAGTGCGAAAGAGAATTCCATTCCGGCGCGCTGTCTGGCCACACGATACTGTTGCGCGTCTTTCTGCGCGTCGTGTGTGCGTCATTAGAATGGAATGAATGAATGAGTGTGTGCATCAGGACATTCACATACAGAGCGTTCTCTTTAGTCTAATCGCGCATAGATGCAAAAAAGCTCGCAAGCGTTAACATTGACAGCACTTGTTAGCAGTATATACAAGAAGAATCTCATTATTTGAATGTATGAACATAGCCCCTCTCTATGAATGAAAACGACTCGGTTACTAACGTAACCTCGGTTCCCTGAGAGGAGGGAACGAGTATTGCGTAAGTAGCTTACGCTATGGGAAAACTCCTTTTCTCGAGAAATATTGAAGTCTTTATGTAAAACGCATTGCAGCTGCACAGCATACAGCAATGAGCGAGGCAGCTCGGTCATTGGCTGTGCTGCGGCAACTGCACGAACCTATGACGGGGCCGCGACTCTGAACCCGCTTCCAATGAGCGTGCTTCGCGCCCGCGCGCGTCAGAGCCCGCCAAGATGGGCGTGGCCAAGGGCCATATATTGGGCGCCCCGTCGTCTAAGTTCTTTAGGGTCAATCGACTGAAGCGAACTGACCAAGCACAAGCACGGCAGCTTACGCAATACTCGTTCCCTCCTCTCCGGGAACCGAGGATACATTAGTAACCGAGTCGTTCCCTTTCGAGAGGTTCCTCCTATTGCGTAAGTAGCTTACGCTATGGGAACACCATGTAAAACGCTGTGCGTGCTGACTTCGCTCTATTAAGCCGGAGGCAGATGCCTGAGCCTTTAAGCAAAGTAAGTATCCAACGAGCCGGCCGAAGGCGGGCTTTATAAGGGACAATGTGGAACGGCCCAATGGGCGTCCAGAGAAAACACACAAGCACATTTTTATGTACTGATATGCATGAAAAAACCCTCTAAGTCAGTCAGAGACGGATCCTATAAGGGAGGAGATAATGCTCAGCATGTACACACTCCAGCCTATGCATAGTTAGACCGACAGTATGTTGGAGTGCAATGAGGGGACCTGTAGGTTATAAAACCTGATAAATGTTGACGGTGAGGCCCAGCCTGCTGCCGCACAAATATCTTGAATGGGTATCCCACTCATCCCACGCCCACGAGGAGGCCATGCCTCTCGTAGAGTGACCTCTGATGCCCAAGGGGCACTGAAGGCCCTTGGCTTCATAAGCCAGCGCTATAGCATCAACTATCCAGCGCGATATTCTCTGCTTTGAAACAGCGAGACCTTTGGTGCGGCCGCCAAGGCATACGAACAATTGCTCTCTCTGTCTGAACAGGGCAGAACGTTCCAAATATACTCTGAGCGCCCTGACCGGGCAGAGTAAATTAGCGTCGCTTTCGTCTGCTGGAGACGATAGCGCGGCCAGAGATATCACCTGTGCTCTGAAGGGTGTAGAGAGCACCTTAGGAATATACCCGTGTTTTGGCCTGAGGACAACTCTGCTGTCGTTAGGTCCAAACTCCAGGCAGGCAGCGCTTGATGACAGCGCGTGCAGGTCGCCCACTCTCTTGACCGAGGCGAGAGCCAGCAAGAGAGCAGTTTTGAGCGAGAGCTGTTTAAGGTGCACAGTTCTGAGGGGTTCGAACGGGGCACTTTTGAGTCCGTCCAGGACCGTGGCCAGGTCCCAGATCGGCACTGAGGGGGGGCGTGGGGGATTTATCCTCCTGGCGCCCCTCAGGAAACGAACAACTAGGTAGTTTTTCCCTAGTGTGCGTCCTTCTACAGGGTCGTGTGATGCCGCTATGGCAGCCACATATACTTTGAGCGTGGAGGGGGTGCGTCCTGCCTCCAACAGCTCTTGTAAGAAAACGAGCACACTCGGTACCTCGCATGTCTCAGGGTTCAGGTTCCTGGATTCACACCAGTCACTGAACACCTTCCATTTCTGGGCATATAAGCGCCTTGTAGAGGGCGCTCGCGCCTCAGTGATGGTTCTCAACACTCCACTGGGGAGGTTCCCAGGAACCCGTTGAGGGGCCATGCATGGAGGGCCCACAGATCGGGGCGGGGATGGAGGATCATCAGGCCTGCCTGAGGAGGTCTAGCCTCAGCGGAATCGGCCATGGGGCAGATTGCATCATCTGCATCAGTTCTGGAAACCACGTCTGGTTCTTCCAGAGTGGGGCTACCAGGAGCACTGCACATTTCTCCTCCCTGATCCGACTGATGACCTGAGGTAGCATCGCGACCGGAGGGAAGGCATACAGCGGGCGACTCTGCCAGATTTGGGCGAGCGCGTCTGTGCTCTTTGAAAAGAAGAGAGGGCAGTGCGCATTTTCCTTGGAGGCAAAGAGGTCGACCTCTGCTCTGCCAAAGGTTTGCCATAACCACTGAATCCAAAGAATGGTGGAGAGACCATTCTCCTGGGAGAACTTTGTCTCTGGACAGCATGTCCGCTCCCTGGTTCAGAACACCTGGCACATGCGCTGCTCTCAGCGAGCGCAGGTTGCGCTGGGACCATAGGATGAGTTCCTTGGCCATCGAGTGCAGGGAGCTCGACCTGAGTGCACCCTGACGATTTATATACGAGACTACCGTCATGTTGTTTGTTCGGACCAGGACGTGCTCGTCCTTCAGGTACGGAAGCAGGGCTCAAAGCGACCGCTTTCAATTCCAGACAGTTTATATGTAGGCGCTTCTCCGGGTTTGACCACAAGCCGGAGACAGGCCTGCCCTCGTAAAGGGCCCCCCAACCTATTTTGGAGGCATCTGTCGTGATCATTTTTCTCCTTGTGTTCACGCCCAGACTCACACCGGACTGATACCAGTCGACAGCTTTCCAGGGCGTCAGGGCTTTTATGCAGCCGTGATTCGCTCTGATTAAAAAGTGGCCCGAGCGCCACGCGTGAGTGGGGACACGGCTTTTGAGCCAGCGTTGGAGAAGACGCATGCGCAACAATCCTAGCTGGAGTACAGCTGATGCTGAGGCCATGAGACCGAGCATCTTTTGAAATCGCTTGACGCGAAGACGCTCTGAACAATGTTGCAAGGCGCCGGATAGTGAGCGCACGCTCTGATGAGAGGCGTGCCGTCATCTGTACTGAGTCTAGCACTATTCCCAGAAAAGAAATATTCTGGCTGGGGGATAGCATGCTCTTTGCAAAATTGATTCTTAGACCCAGGCGTTCTAGATGACTGATAATCCAAGACCTGTGTGTCACTAACTGGCTCTCTGATTGTGCTAGGACTAGCCAATCGTCGAGATAATTCAGTATTCGCACTCCCCGCTGTCTCAGGGGGGAAAGTGCTGCATCCATGCATTTCGTAAATGTACGGGGTGCCAGTGATAGGCCGAATGGTAGTACTGTGTACTGGTATGACTGTCCCTCGAAAGCGAATCTCAGAAATGGCCTATGATGAGGCGCTATCGGAATGTGAAAGTAAGCGTCTTTCAGATCCACAGATAGAAACCAATCCCCTGGGCGAACTTGAGCGAGTATATGTTTGGTTGTTAACATTCTGAACGAGCGAATCATTAAAGCTTTGTTCAGATGTCTGAGATCTAGAATGGGGCGGAGACCACCATCCTTCTTCGGGACGAGAAAATAGCGACTGTAAAAACCTGCCTCGCTCACAGAGGGAGGGACTGTTTCGATAGCGCACTTCTCTATCAGTTTGAGCACCTCGGTGCGTAGAACATGTGAAACATCTTTTCTCACTTTCGTTTCGACCACCGCTGTGAAGCGGGGCGGTCTGCGAGCGAATTGAAGCGAGTAATCGTGTTTTATTATGTTCAAAACCCATTTCGGCATGCCGGGGATATTTTCCCAAGCTTTCGCTCGCACAGATATGGGCTGAATGCTGGCTGGGGGCGTGTCGCAGTGACGTATGGCTCCCGCCGGCAAATCGCCCTGTGCTAATACTGAGATTACAGCTCTCAGAGGCGCGGGCGCGCGCTGAGCAGCTTTGTTGAATGCCGAGTGCAGGGGCACGTGTGAGATTACAGGCACGCTCGCCACATCTGTAATGCTCACAGTGTGAGTTGGGGAAATGTTTAAGACTGTATGGACAGTGCTTATGGGTGGGGGTGCATAGACTGTGGTAGGCACGCGCGCCACTTTCATAAAACTTTTATATAAACAGTGTTTGTGAGTTGGGGTGCGTGCATAACAGCGGGCACACGCGCTACTCTTATAGAATTTCCCGCTTTTACTGGCGAAGTGTTTATAACTGTGGGAACAGTGCTTATGTGCAGTGGTGCATACATGACAGTGGGCACACAATCTACATTTATGGGGCGTCCAGCCTGAGCTGGGAAAGCATTTGGCACTGCTTTGACAGTTTTGATATGTGGGAATGCGCACTTTAGTGTGGACACGTGACACCTTAATGACACAGGCAGAAAATGGCTCTTTATGTGATTTCTGTGTGTCGCCGTAAAAACGGCGTTTGTTTGCAGGTGAGAGAGCTGTGCGGCTGGCCCATTGGCTGCTGTACAGACATTTCCAGCCGCCTGTTGGGGGACTGGGTAATGCTTTAGACGTTTTGGAGAGAGCGGTCCGGCTTCTGCGAGACACGCGCTCTCTCTCTTTCTCCCTGTAGCTAGGAAGACTTACGAGGCTCTGGGTTCAGCACAATCTTGGGCCGAGGTCCCCGTTGCTCGGGCGGTTGCTTCCTGTTGGCAGAGCGCGAGCGGCGTCGAAAGTCAGTTTCAGGTCTGGGCTGAGAGACGGGAGGCGCCGTCTTGACTCGCTGTTGCTGAGGCGGCTTTTGGCGGCTCTGCGATGAGCTAGATCGCTTGGGCAGGAAGTGTCGCATAGCCTGCGAATCCTTACGGGCTTCGGTGAAGCGCTCAGCGAACTCCTTCACCACTGGTCCGAACAGGCCGCTTTGGGAGATAGGCGCATCGAGGAATGACGCCTTATCTGCATCCTTCATCTCTGTTAGCGTTAGCCACAGATGGCGCTCAAGGACAGTCAGGTTAGCCATAACAAGGCCGATGGATTGGGCGGTGGCTTTTGTGGCTCGCAGTGCTATGTCAGTGGCGCTGCGCAGATCCTTGAATGCCTCAGGATCAGGTCCGGACTCGTCCATGGTGCGGAGAAGTTTAGCTTGAAACACTTGGAGGACAGCCATGGAGTGAAGCGCTGACGCAGCTTGGCCGGCGCCGGCGTATGCTGAAGAGAGAGCTGAAGTAGATCGGCAAGGCTTCGAGGGATGAGAAGCTTTGGCTCTCCATCCATCGGTGGAGGGTGGACAGAGGTGATTGGCCACAGCCTCCTCGAGGGGCGGAGTCCCCTCGTAGCCTCTTTCTTTCGCGCCGTCCACAGAGGAGAGCAACAAAGAGAAAGAAGGCTTCAGGCGAGCGGAGTGCGGGGCTTTCCACGACTTCGTGAGTTCGTCGTGAACTTCCGGGAAGAAAGGGGAGGGCCTTTGCCGAGGAGCCTGCCTGCGCCCCTGCAGGAACCACTCGTCCAGTCGGCTGCGGGCGGGTTCTTCCGGGGAAGACCAATCGAGCCCGAGGTCTTCCACGGCCTTAGACAGGATGCGGACGATTTCCGAGTCCATGCTGGAGCCCACGCTCGTGCCCGCTAACGTCGATGGCGCGGGGTCGAAGGACGAGCCTGGCCAGTCGTCGGATGCAGCATCAAAGGAAAGGCTGTCATCCTTTTGGTCGTCATCCCCTGACGCGCCAAACGAGACGAGACCCATCGCTCTGCTGGAGGGGTGCTGGTCCGCCTGTGTGAACTGGACTGGCGGCGGGGAGTCATCGGGTGGTGGTGAAGCTTCTTCTTACGCGGCTCGACCAGAGGGGATGGTAGCACGGTGGAGGTGGGCTCTTTCGCGGCGAAAGCGGCGAAGCGAGCGCGCAGCTCGGTGAGGCCCAGGGCGTCACACTCGGGGCATCCGCCTCGAGTAAGGGCAGCCTCTGCGTGGTCCGGTCCCAGGCAGTGGGTGCAAATGATGTGACGATCCCCGTCCTGAAGAGGGCCTCGACACGAGGCGCAGGAAGGCATTTGAAACAACGCCCAGTTAATTTGCTCTTTTAGATAGTGTCGCGGGGGCGAACACTGGTAGCTTTGAAAAGGATATAGGTGATGCGCGCCGGATGGCTTAGCAGAAGGCAATCGAAGGCGGCTGAAGGTGCCGGCGTCCTCGAAGCAGTCCTGCTGTAGGCTTGTCGATCCAGCGAAGAGAAGGTCTTTGCTGAAGGAGATTAAATCTAAAGAACTCAGACGACGGGGCGCCCAATATATAGCCCTTGGCCACGCCCATCTTGGCGGGCTCTGACGCGCGCGGGCGCGAAGCACGCTCATTGGAAGCGGGTTCAGAGTCGCCCCGTCATAGGTTCGTGCAGTTGCCGCAGCACAGCCAATGACCGAGCTGCCTCGCTCATTGCTGTATGCTGTGCAGCTGCAATGCGTTTTACATAAAGACTTCAATATTTCTCGAGAAAAGGAGTTTTCCCATAGCGTAAGCTACTTACGCAAAAGGAGGAACCTCTCGAAAGGGAACTTTATACCTTATCCGTCTTCTGCGCAGTTTCTTCATATTGCGTTTGTACAGAATAACACAAAATTAGTAAAATAACAAATATTGCAGTACGAAATATCTCCATGCTGAGCCATTTTTGCACTTCCTGATTTCCCTACTTGAGAATCCTTGCCCAATGAATGGACGACCTTAGCACACGTGTGGTTTTGTTTACAAATTTTGGTTCACTTGCAAAAAGAGCAGTGTGAAAGCGAACCGTACCAAAAAAAAAAAAGACAAAAAATTATTTGGTCCGGACCAAAGCAAGTGAACTATCGGACTTTCCTGGTGTGAATACACCCTATGTCTCAACTTTTGGAGATGTGGCAACAAAATTTAGACATGTAGGCCTACATCTTCAGGACAAAAGTTAACTATGTCTGAATAGGATAAATGAACTACTAGTGTATGATATCAAAAGATATATTGAACAAAAAGAACATTCATAAAATTTTTTATATTTGAATAAATTCACATATGAAAGATTTCGCATAGACCAGTCTGGTTGTGCATGACTGAATACTTTGGTAACTTCTGCAGCATCACAGGTTGAGAGCAGTCCTTTATCTGTATGCTTTTCTAGGACAGCGTGTCTGATAAGTAGCATTTTAAAGCATTCAAGTTTCAAAATAGTAAGTTTACATGCTACATTTTGACACCTGGAACAAAATATATATCAGGTGTTTCTCAGCTAACAAAAAAATGTTCTAAGAATGTACACGCATTCTCATCCTTTGGCGTCATATAGGTGACGCCATATGACATTTCGTCGAAATCTTACGCACATGGTATCCTTTAGCGTCAATATAACACGCACTGTTATGGGTAGGTTTAGGTCTGGGGTAGGGTACGGTTATGACGCCTTGGGATCTGCGTCTCATATTGACGCTAAACGATGCCATGTGCGTCGGATTTAGACGAGCGTCACCTGTATGACGCCTTGGGTTCTGCGTCTCATATTGATGCTAAAGGATGCCATGTGCGTAAGATTTCGACGAAATGTACAAAGCGTCACATGTATGACGCCAAAGGATGAGAACGGGCTGAAATGAGAGAACGTTCTCATTAAGTTATAAAAACATTCTTTTTGAACGTTCTCTGGACGTGTAAAACGTCCAGTTTTTAAAATGTTTTTTCTTGGTTATGCAGACATCATTTTGCACTATGGGAACGTATCAGAATGTTTAGAGAACATTAAAAAGTTTTAAGTATAACATTTTCATGGTAACACTTTACAATAAGGTTCATTAGTTAACATTAGTTGTTGATTACCTTAGAACTAAGAATGAACAATACTTCTTCAGCATTTATTATTCTTAGTTAATATTAATTTCAACATTTACTGATACGTTATTAAAATCAATGGTTGTATTTGTTAACATTAGTTAATGCACTGTGAATTAACATGAACAAACAATGAACAGCTGTATTTTTATTAACTAACATTAACAAAGATTAATAAATACTGTAACAAATGTATTTCCCATTGTTAGTTCATGTTAGTTAATACATTATCTAATTTTAATATTTAATATATCTAATATTTTCATTAAAAAAACATAAACATCCAACTAAAATGTCTCAAAAAAGTTCCATGAATAATGTTTTTGTGCTAATGTTTTGAGAACATTATTAAATACCAGTTAACTTTTTTCAAAGAACCTTCTGTTAATGTTACTGGAAGAAAATTTGTTCATAACTTAGATAAGAGAAATAGATAAGAGAATAAGAGAATGTTATCCTAAGCTCTGAGAACGTTCCCTGTTAGCTGGGTAGGTTTTTTTTATTTTTTTATTTGAGGTTTCATGAATCAACCGGATTACATTATTAGATTAAGTTGCTACTTTCACTGCAGAAAAATACCTACCCCTCAAATGCAGCTGTTATTAATGAGTCAGGCAGGCAGTATGTGAGCTCTGTAACTCTGCAATCATTGCACAGTGAGTTTGATATACAGAAAGCAGAAGATAGCCCTTTAGGGTAAAATGCTTAAATGTATGATTTAATCTTATTTTTAACAGACAATGTTAACAGCAATCTCGATGAGTGCCATAGCCACCAATGGTGTAGTTCCAGGTAATTTGTAGTGTTTATACTCCTTTGTATTATATAATATTTCACAGTAGCTACAAACACACACAAATGTATTTATCTATTTTTTTTTAATTGGCAGCTGGTGGGGCCTATTTCATGATATCTCGGTCTCTGGGCCCTGAGTTCGGTGGTGCAGTTGGTCTCTGTTTTTATTTAGGCACAACCTTCGCTGCTGCCATGTACATACTGGGAGCAATTGAAATATTTCTGGTCAGTCTCCTTATATTATGACAACACACACACACACAATGATCCAAAACCTAAAATGATCCAGCTCTGAAAATATTCATTCATCAACTCTTTTTGTCTACAGAAATATCTGATTCCCCAGGCTGCCATATTCCATCCCGCAGATATTCATGCGGGGAGTGGTGCAATGCTGAATAACATGCGAGTGTATGGCACAATATGTTTGAGCCTTATGGCTGTAGTTGTCTTTGTGGGGGTCAAGTATGTCAACAAATTTGCCTCCCTGTTCTTGGCCTGTGTCATAATCTCCATTGTGTCTATCTACGCTGGAGCTGTCAAATCCATCTTCCACCCTCCTGAGTTTCCGTAAGTCTTTATGTTGCTAGACAAAACAAAACACAAAATGTAATATTTAAATGAAAATGTAATTAGATAAAATAATATATGAGTTTTTTATTTTTATTTTTTTAACCATGTATAGGATCTGTATGTTGGGAAACCGGACATTGGTTCGTGATTTGTTTGATGTTTGTGGGAAGACAGTAGTTGTCGGTAATGAGACGGTTACCAGCAAGCTTTGGAAGAACTTCTGCAGCTCTGAGAATTCCAGCAGTGCTCATTGTGATGAGTACTTCTTTCAGAACAATGTTACAGAGATCCCAGGCATTCCTGGGCTGGCCAGTGGGATCATTAAAGGTAAGGACACACTTGTCTGGTCCACAGCATGTCATCTTGGTAAAAAAAAAGAAAACAGATTTGAAAATTATAACATATATTTAAAGATGATGAAAAGGGCTCTTCTTTTCCAGGCACTTGCTCTTTGACATGTATTATATGTGGTTTTGTATATGTATTTATTTATTTTATTTTTATGCATGTATGTGCAGAAAACATGTGGGGGGATTACATGGAGAAAGGGCAGATTCTCGAAAAGGCAAGTCTGTCCTCTGTCGATGTCCATGGCTCCATGGAGACCTTTGGCTTCTATGTGTCGGCTGACATTGCCACTTCCTTCACCCTCTTAGTGGGAATCTTTTTTCCTTCTGCCACAGGTAAAACTCATATGTCCTCTTTGGTTAAAAAAACATATGTATTTATTATTTATTACACCCTCGAATACTTAATTCTGATTGGTCAATCGAAGAATCAAGCTGTGTAATGTTATTAGTATTTGCTACATGTAAAGTAAAATTATGTAGGCCTATGTGAGGGCCACTATGGGAAGGAGGCAGAGTTGCCAATCCAGATATTGTAAGCAACTTTGGGATTGTTTTTTTTTTGAATAACTTGTTTATAGATTTGGTCAGTGGCGGGTTGTATTTCTTTTTTTTTGGGCTTATTTCCAGAATACAATTGCGTATTTGTCTTGTTTTGGTTGGCACCCATAGCAGGGGCGTCACTAGGCCCATTTTAAGAAGGCTTTACCCCCCTAAATTTCCACCCAGCCCCCCTAAAAAATTGCGATTAACAATTATGATGCTAATTTCATATGAAAATTAATTTTTTTACATTTTTAAACTGGCAATTAAAGAAAAAATATGCCTTTCTAGAGGACCTTTGAGAGTCTCTTGCTATACTTAATACTTCAGTACAATAAAATAGCAAAATCTTATCATAATATTCATTTGAAAATAAAACACTAAGAACTATAAAAGAGAGTAGAAATGGCTAATGAGTGGTCCTATGCAGCCATCTACTGGTTATTTTGGTCATTTCATGTCATTTTCATGTTAAAAGTGTTTGTTTTCCACCAGGTGACAGAAATCCTCCATTAAAGCATGGCACATTTTCCATGTTATCTCCATGAATGAAAATGAGAAATGTAGATCTTCTTTTAAGTTAATTTTACTGCACAAATGTAGAGTTAAAAATAGTGTTTAAAACATTGTGTTGAGAAAAATATATTTTACCCTTTTCACCCCTGATGCTTTTGCATCTCTGCATTTAAACTGCTTGAGTGAATGACATATTTTGTTCTACTAAATAATGAACCAGCAGCTGACTGTGACATACATTATAGCATTAGAGTAAAGGCATTAGTGGTTTCTGATACAATTCTGAATTATAGATTGATGTGCTGTTATTTTTTTAATACATAGAAAACAAAAAAGGAATGATTTAATATGGGACAGATTAAACATATTGCAAATCTAGACAGTTACAGCACTGTAATTTTTTTTTTGCAATTTAGTTGTTTCAACTTATTTTTTTGTGTAGAGATAACTAGATTGTCCAGACACCTCAACTTATCGAAATAAGTTAGTTAAACTAAAAAAAACCCATGCAAAAAGATAACACAAAATAATGAGTTAAGTTTTTTTAAAGTGAGTAATATAAGGGTTGTCTATTTGTTGGTTATTTAAAATGATTTGAAATCAAATCAATAAAAAAACAAATTACCGCTTTATGGTTATGTGTGTGATAATGTTTCTATCAGTCAGTGTCAATGCCATGGCAACTGGACTGCAAGCGGCAACATTTAGCCAATCTGTAAAGGCGCAGTTGATGTAAATTTCATGGTGTCCGTGACAACGCTGTAACCTGTCAATCCACTCATGGTTACATGTTATAATACACTATTTTTTCTAAGTGAAAGTTTAAAAAGCTTAGCCTAAACTAAGTTCAATCATTATTTAATGCCCACTAATTTATTTATTTGGCGAGTACCTGTGTAATAAGCTGGATAAAATATAGTCAGCTGACTGCACTATCATTTAAGTATCTAAGTATTATGACTTGATGAAAAATGACTTTAATTTCACTATTTTTGTCAATCTCTGTCTCTGCGACAGGCATTATGGCAGGATCGAACAGATCTGGAGATCTAAGAGACGCACAGAAGTCTATACCAATAGGGACGATTCTGGCCATTACAACTACGTCTCTTGTCTGTATCCTTTATTGCTGTTGGTACTGATAATATGTTTTAAATAACCCTTCTAACTAATACTCTTATCAACTGTATGTTTTCTTTTTCTTTTCAAACAAACTGTTATACAAAGTGTGAGCAGTCCTATTTTGCATTCAAAGTTACATAGAATTCCATGACTCATTTGACAGATTTCAGCTCTGTGGTTCTATTTGGGGCCTGTATTGAAGGTGCGGTGCTGAGAGATAAGTAAGTTATCTATCTCTAGAGCGAGCAAATAGACACTTTTAGATGGAAACAAGCATGTTGTGTCTTATGTGTTCTTGCATATGTCTTTTAGATTTGGAGATGCAGTCAGAAAAAACTTGGTGGTTGGCACACTGTCTTGGCCTTCTCCTTGGGTCATTGTGATTGGCTCATTCTTCTCCACAGTGGGTGCAGGACTTCAGTCCCTGACTGGAGCTCCCCGCCTCCTGCAAGCCATTGCTAAAGATAACATCATCCCTTTCCTTAGAGTGAGAGATCTTCTGATTTATGATCACAAAATATCTAAATAACACACTTTTCCATCATGTTGATGTTATTCATTACAATAACAAGTACACAGAATAAAATAGCAGCATTTTTTATGTGGTTCAAAACACATTGTAAATATACTGAGTTTTAAAACTTAAAACAAGACTGATAAAGTTTGAAATGAATTCCAGTGAGATGTAAATGTGCGTATTGTGAGTTTCTGGATTATGGTTACTTCCTTTTTTTGTGCCAAACCACAAATGCCATAAAAGCAAACATTTGCATGTCATATGTAAAATGTTGTTCCCAAAATGTAAATATGTGATGCTAACAGCTGACTATTACTTTCCATCCCTATGTGTTCATGTGTTTGCACATGCACAGGTCTTTGGACACGGAAAAGCTAATGGAGAGCCCACGTGGGCTCTGCTGCTGACGGGACTCATAGCAGAGCTCGGCATCCTCATTGCATCACTGGATCTGGTCGCTCCTATTCTCTCCATGTGAGAACACACCACAAATATGCACATACAGATTCAATTCACACAAAATAAATGATTTAAACTGCGTTTTAAGATGTCCTTTTTATATTGAACATCTAATGTTAATGGGTTTTTTATTTATTTATTTATTTATTTATTTATTATTGTTGTCATTTTTGATACATTTAAAGCATATTTTGAAATGTATATTGAATTCTTTTGCAAATAGATCTCATTGGTAAAATGAAGGCTAGATATCAATTTATAGTTGCTTCTTATTAAGTGGTCACCTTTTTATTTATATAGCACTTTATATAATACAGATTGTTTCAAAGCAACTTCACAGTAATAAACAGAAAATTAATGATTACTGATGCAAACTTCATCAAACATGCGACTAATTCAAATTATGCTGTAACGATGCTCTACAGAAGACAATAGTGTCATTATTCTGCTTGTGTCAGTTCAGTTTAATGGCTGTGTAAAGTTTAATTCAGCTATAAGCAGTTCTATGAAAGTCAATTGTGTCGTTATTCAGCTTGAGTCAGTTGTGTTTAATCAATAGGCTATATGCACGCATAACTTCCGCCTTTGACGCAAGGCTGCTCTTCAGTTTCCGGTTGGGGAGATTTAAAGCGGAGGAAAACGGGAGTATGTCTTCAAAATTTGCTGTCCTCCCGTCTTTGAAACGAAACTTTCATACGTTTAGATGTCATTATATATATATATATATATATATATATATATATATATATATATTAGTTATTTGCTTTATTATATTAAATAAACATAAGCATAAACAAAATGAGGAGTGGCTGTTTTGTCTGTTTTTGTGACTAACGTTCCTTTAGTATAGCCAAAGAGTATAGAAGCCAATATAAATTCTCGGTATAGCATATATAGAGCCTATTCTGTTGCAACTTGCAAATATGTAAATTTAAAACAAAGTTGAATCAGAAGAGTTGTGTCATCATCCAGCTCAATTCAGTTAAAGTTTTGTTCTTATCCAATAGTGTCAGTGAAGTCAAATCGATAATTTTAATGAATATTAAGTGTCTTTTAAAGCAACGTATGGGCTCAGCACAGATGCTACATGTTCTTTCAGAAATAAAAACTTTTTTTCCCCCCTTTTCATTTAATACCATAATGTTTTTTTTTTTACCTGGATTGCCATTACATGTATTACATGTTACTAATTCTAATATGTATAAATGCTTGTTCACTTGACAGGTTTTTCCTGATGTGTTATCTTTTTGTAAACTTGGCATGTGCAGTACAAACACTTTTAAGAACGCCAAACTGGAGACCACGGTTTAGATACTACCACTGGTAAGTTTGCATTTCGATTGTGTGTGCATTCATTTATGTGATGATCATATTTGTGCATGTTCTGGGAACTTCTCTTGTACTGACATTTAAATTCAGCTCAAACTGTGTTCACAAAACTCACTGGAACTCAGCCCTAGATATCTGTTATTCACTTCCTGCAATTATTTAATAATGACCTTTAATAAAAACAGGTCACGCTTTTGAAGTGTATAGTAAAATAATAGGTCTTTTTATGATGTGCTCTCTGTTATCGCTCTCTTTCAGGGCTCTGTCTTTTCTGGGCATGAGTATGTGTTTAGCCCTTATGTTTATCTCCTCTTGGTACTATGCCATTGTAGCAATGGGCATTGCTGGTATGATCTACAAGTACATTGAGTATCAGGGGTAAGTGATTCCTAGTTACATCCATTAACCTGACATCTGAAATTAAACTGAAATCACCAATTATCCATCTTTACTTTACAAATCTCAGTCTTGTATATTTTTCCTCTCTCTTAGAGCAGAGAAGGAATGGGGGGATGGGATCCGCGGGTTGTCTCTTAGTGCCGCCCGTTACTCACTTCTTCGCCTGGAAGCTGGACCTCCCCACACCAAAAACTGGAGGTTGTGAAGCTAATTGAAAATATTATCAGCTGATATTTTCCAAAAAAACGTATTTGGAAATGACCTAGGAACACTTTCAAATAATATATTTAAATACTGTTTAAGAAGCAGGAAGATATTGTTTGAATAATATACTCCTCCTGCATACTTCAAACAGTGTTTGTACTGACAGTAACACTGCAGTTCAAAAGTTTGGGGTTGGTCAGATTTTTTAATGTTTTTGAAAGAAGTTTCTTGTGTTCACCAAGGCTATTACCAAAAATGTAAATTATTCCTGTGATTGCAAAGCTGAATCGTCAGCAGCCGTCACTCCAGTCTTCAGTCTAATATGCTTATTTGGTGTTCAAGAAACATTTTTTTTTCTTATTTATTTTGAAAAAGGTTGTGCTGCTTAATATTTTTTGTGGAAAACATGATGCACTTTTTCAGCATTCTTTGATGAATAGAATGTTCAAAAGAAAAACAGCCTTTATATTAATTAGAAATATTTATAACAATATAAACATCATCACAGTCACTTTTTTTTTAATGTTTTGCTTTTTTATATAAATAATTACACTACAATCACATTAAAATAAAATAATTGTAATAGGCCACAGCTGCTGGTTCTGCTGAAGTTGGATGAGGATCTACATGTAAAGTATCCCAGAATGCTTACCTTTGCCTCACAGCTGAAGGCAGGAAAAGGCCTAACCATCGTAGGTTCTGTGATACAGGGAAACTTCCTGGAATGCTATGGGGAAACACAAGCGTCAGAACAGGTGAGGAAGTTTCCTGATTTACATGCACTTTTATCATCACCTTGTGCACTGTGCTCTTAAATTACAGATGCAAATACAGTAGTGGCCAAAAGTGATGTCCAGCTTAGGAAAATTGACATTTTTTTCTTCCCTAATATTTAAAATATTTAGCAAAATATGAAATATTTTCCTAATATTTTGATGGTTTAATCAAACTTGTAGACTCATTACAAACAATTATCCCTTCCAGACATCACTTTTGGCCACTACTGCACAATGATCTTCATCCAGATAAATGAACTGTGGTGGATTTGTACTTTATAACTTTGCAGCCATATTCAATTGTAGTTGGCAAGAAATTTGGTCTTGTGTCTTTTCAAGAAATAACAAGAGGCAACATTTATATATTAAAGTAGAAGCAATGGATATTGATTTTATTGTAGGTTTCCATGGTTGTGCTGTGTTTGTACCCTTCACCAGGCAATAAAGAACATGATGGAGATTGAGCGGGTGAAGGGCTTCTGTCAGGTAGTGGTAGCCTCCAAAGTGAGAGAGGGGATCGCACATTTGATCCAGTCCTGCGGTCTGGGAGGCATGAAGCACAACACAGTTGTTATGGGTTGGCCATATGGCTGGAGACAAAGTGAAGACCCACGGGCTTGGAAAACCTTTATTAGTAAGAACAAGATTTATATGAATGATGTGCACTTATAATTGTCTGCACTGAAACACAACAGGCTGATTTTAATCTACTCCCCTTTCATATCCTCTCACCTGTAGATACAGTCCGCTGTACTACAGCTGCCCACCTGGCTCTGATGGTCCCAAAAAATGTGTCATTCTATCCCAGCAACCATGAGCGCTTTACTGATGGATATATTGACGTCTGGTGGATTGTCCATGATGGTGGAATGCTCATGCTCCTGCCTTTCCTTCTCAAACAACATAAGGTGAACAATTAGCAATTTACATTCCATTGCCATTAACATTCAAATGTAACATAAAATTGTTCACAGTTTGCATTAAAAAAAATACTGTTGATGAGAGTAATAGTTAGATTGTTTTAAGCATTATAGCTGTACCAACATTAAAAATATACCAAGAAAATATCTCAACCAGGGGTGCATCTGGTACTCACAAACAAAAGGGTGCTCCAGAAGGGGAACAAAATGTAAAAAATGCTAGGTTGATCCTGTTGTAGAACAAGGAAATCCACTTCCAGGCACTCACATAGTTAGAAAGGTAAAACGCCTTTATTGCAAGACAGGGCTACATCTTAAAAAACACTAACGCGTACAGTATCAGCCCAAACAGGCCTTCGTTAGGGTTTTCTTGTTCTATAACAGGATCCACCTACCATTTTTGATATAAAAAATACTTAATAACAGCCCCCTAATGAATCTGCAATGTATTATGCCTTCTGTAATGATAGATAGATTTTGGAATGTGAAGTTTACATATTCAACCTTGTATGTTGTACAAGCTCTTGAAAATACATGACTGTATAATTGTAATTATAAAGTAATCCCCCCTTTGTATTATTGTTATTGTATATTTGTAAGTACTTTGTGGTTGTGCTATGTTTATATTTATTTGGTTTTCTTCTTGTACTTCAGGTCTGGCGTAAATGTAAGATGCGAATCTTCACTGTGGCTCAAATGGATGATAACAGTATTCAGATGAAGAAGGACCTGGCAACCTTCCTGTACCAGCTGAGATTAGAAGCAGAAGTGGAAGTGGTTGAGATGGTATACAGAACACTTTCTTCACTATTAATACATCCCACACATCACAAACATTTATGCAATTATAATTTCATGCTGTCAAATGTTCTTATTTGCAGCACGACAGCGACATCTCCGCATATACGTATGAACGGACACTGATGATGGAACAGAGGTCACAGATGCTAAAACAAATGAGGCTCTCCTGTGCAGAGAGAGACAGAGAGGTACTGCAACCTTCACATTCATTATGTCTGCTCTGCACTAACATTGTCTTTTACCAACAGAAGAATACAGAAATCATTGAAGTATATTATGAAATGACAAACGATATTATCCCAAATCCAGAAAATTTGGGACATTTTGTAAAATGCAATAAAATCAAGAATCTGTGATTTGTTAATTCTCTTTATATGATGTTTTATAAACAAGGTTCGGGAGGAGCACGTTCAAATAAATCATTCCAATCAACTCGTCACCAAACTATTACATGTCTACCCTATCAGCACGAGAGGAAGCATATATAAATATCCACTGTCAACTCACCTAACATTCCTTGACAGTTTCAGCATTTGGTCCCGCCCTTTTGCCACAATGTCAGAGATCGAACTCTACCCTTCCGATGACGACTCCTTCATCAGCCAGGGTCCATCTCAGCTCCCTATCACCGCTACGAGTTCCCATGCTCAACAGGATACCGCTCCCGAACCTCCAGCTTCACGGCGCGGCCGCCGGCCTAGCCGAGCCGCCTCTCGTACCCCGAGGCGCCGTGGTTTGCCCTCACCTCCACCATCAAGACCTCCACCATCTCCAGCTTCCTCCTACACCTCAGCACAACCCAATATTCCGGCAATCGAGAAATGGACAGTGCTGGGGCTGAGACAAGCGCTAATCAGCGCTGACGTTCATTTTTCTAGGAGGATGAACAAATCACAACTGTACAACTTGTATGTTTCTCTCCAGGCAGCTTTCCCTTCTCCGAAATCCACTCCACCTTCAAAAACAGCAAAAAAGGCAAGTAACAAAACATCAAACTCACGTTTTCAGAAAACTCCTTCTCCCGACGCCGCAGGGCCCAGTTCTACGCGAGCGCCAGGCCACAGCAGGCCTTCAGCTAGCCTGGGCCGCGCCCCAGATTCCGCCGCCGCCAGGCCCCACTCCTCTCTCCGCTCTGCTGAGCTACAGACCGTGGCGTTTTCCAGCACCGCACCTCACGCTACTTTGCCAGTTTCATGCGAAACAGGCCGCTCTTTAAACGTGAGTATGCCAACGCTTCAAGCCCAACCACCCCACCATCCTCCCGTAACTTTTTCCAACCCTTTTTCCTGTCCCTGGCCCGCAGTCCCACCGTCAGTCTCTAGCGCGAGGTTGCCTCAGCTAGAGCCGCAGGCCCACTCACACTTCCTACCTCTCCAGCTCTCTTCTTTCCCAACTTTTCCAGCTCCCCCCCAAGCTTTAGGGACCGACCCAAGTGTGAGGTTGCCTCCACAAACGGCTTCGGTCCCGGGCTTTTTCCCTCGTAATACTTTTCCCCAAAACCATTCTTCTTTCACCCTATTTTCCGCAACGCCGATGCCCATCCCGCCGAACGCTACAGCTATGGAACCGCCCCTCGTGACCAACAACATCAGAGCCCAAATACTCACAGGTGCGGATATTGATTTATCCTCTCTTCTATCTATCCTCCCTTCCTCTGTTTCAAATAGGCAAATCGATTGCGGCGATTTTGCAGTCACCTTGAAAAACCCAGTTCACAATTCATCCCGCATCCTGTCATTTTCCGAATTCGCAATTGCTTTCAGCCGGTATAGCGAAATCATTTGCGCCGCACTCCCCCACAGAAGACGAGAACTGAACGACTATCTCGCAATAATTGCAGAGCTCGCGTTGTCATATGGAGGAACACATTTTTACACTTACCACAAATTGTTCTCAGCAAAATGCGCCGTCCGTGTAGCTCAGTGGAACCAGTGCCCTTACTGGGGAGCCCTTGACAAGCAGCTACACAACAGAGTGTTCTTAGGCTGCCGCAACATATCCTGCGCAGTTTGCAGATCTGTCTCTTATTCCACCACAGCTTGTCCTTTGATTAACCCCGAAAATCCTCCCCGCCCAGATTCATCAGCTGGAAAATCAACCAGTTATGTCCCGCGACCAGCAAACTTTAATCCCAACGACTCAGCTACGGATTCCCAAAGAAGAAAAATCTCATTCCCATCCAACAACCAAGCCTGCAATAATTTCAATGCGGGGCGTTGCCTAAGGCAACGCTGCCGTTTTTTTACATATTTGCAGCTACTGTGGCGGCGCGCACGCGCGCACTTTATGCCCTGTCAAAAGGTCCGTAAATAAAGATTCAAAAAACTACTTATCGACTCCTGTGAATTTTTCCCGTCTGTCTTCTGAATTATCCCACCACCCTAACACTGATTTTAAGGACTATTTACTGTCTGGTCTCGAGCATGGCTTTAATCCGGGCGTCGAAAGCCTCCCCACACAGAGTATCATATGTGATAATCTCCAATCTGCTTTCGCCGAACCTGACACAGTCGACACCCTGATTAAAAAAGAAATCATATCGGGCTTTATGATTGGTCCTTTTGACATTCCTCCTTTTGAACATTTCCGTATCAGCCCAATTGGAGTGGCCACCAGGAAATTTTCAGGCAAAAAACGCCTTATAATCGATCTTTCAGCCCCCCATAATTCTCCGTTTCCAAGCATTAATCATCTCGCTCAAACAATTATCTCTTCATTACCACACCATTGATCAAGCCATAACATTGATTAAAGACGCAGGTTACGGCGCTTGGCTTGCTAAAGTTGACATCACCTCTGCCTTTAAAGTGATGCCCATCCACCCGGATTCGTGGCATTTGTTCGGCGTACGATGGCAAGGAAAATTTTATTTTTCTGTCCGTTTAACTTTCGGCTGCAAAAGTAGCCCCAAAATTTTCGACATGCTTTCAGAGGCTATTTGTTGGATTCTTTCCAACAACTACTCGATACCCTACCTAATCCACTTGCTAGACGATTTCCTGATCATCTCTCCGCCTGAATCGATCCCAGCCGCACATCTTCTCACAGTCCAAAAAGTCTTCAGCGAGCTCGGGATTCCAATCGCCCAAGAAAAAACCATGGGTCCAGCCACATCCATCGAATTCCTGGGCATTAAATTGGACACAATCAACTTCCAGGCCTCACTACCCAAGGAAAAAATCGACAGGATTATTCTGGTCGCATCCACCCTTCTAGAAAATCCAAATTGCTCTAAACGAGAGCTTCTATCTCTGCTCGGCCATTTGAACTTTGCGATGCGCATTATCCCACAAGATCGCCCTTTCATCTCACATCTCCTCTTCCTTGCATCATCAGTTCACGAGCTAGAGGACCAAATCTCCCTAACTACTTCATGTAGCAACGAGCTCAGTTTATGGATAACATTCCTTAAACAATGGAACGGCCTGTCATTTTTCTATAATAATCTGATTTCTCTCCCTACGGATATCCAACGGTTCACAGATGCAGCTCCTTCCGTTGGTTTCGGAGGTTTCTACCAAGGTCGTTGGTTCGCGTCTACATGGCCAGCCCAGTTGTTAGATTTACCACAATCACTAACATCCTCAGCATTATTCGAGTTGTATCCTTTAGTGGTAGCAGCCTTCTTGTGGGGCAAAGAATGGTCGACTAACAGCATCATGGTACACTGTGATAATGAAGCAACCGTGCATTGCATCAACAAAGGCCGCTCAAATTCCCCCGCTTTAATGCCTCTCCTAAGACGCCTCATTTGGATCGCAGCTTGCGACCAGTTCATCTTAACTGCAAAACATGTTCCTGGGTCCAAAAATCAAATAGCTGACTCTCTCTCTCGTTTTGCTTTCCAGAAATTCAGGCTGTTGGCACCAGAGGCGGACCCATGCCCAACCCCAGTACCTCACTATTCAGAGTTAATATTCCCATAAACCATCCATTGAAACCACTTCTAGATGCTTCTCTTAACTCCATTCTGCAAGCCGTTTCACCCAGCACCCTCCAATCCTACCTAACCGCATGGAAGTGTTTTAAGTCTTTCCACTTCACATTCAACCAGCCTTTTCCCAGTTTTTCTCTGCTCAACATCACTTCATTTATATCCTATCTGGACAGCACCAAGAACCTCAAAGCCCGCTCCATCAAGGGCTATCTAAGCGGAATCCAATTCTTCCACAAACTCCTTTTTGGTTCACCCTCCGCAGACATAGCAAATTCCCAGACATCAATGCTTATCAAAGGCATCCAAAAAAAAAAAACCCGTCCAGATGCCAGACAACCAATAACCTTGGACATACTCACCAAATGTATCTCTACCCTCCGCCGAGGCTACCACTCCACCAACACCGCCCGCACACTGGATGCCATGTTCATATTGGCTTTCTTCGGTTTCCTCAGATGCTCAGAACTCACCATCACTTCCAACTTCAACCCTAAAGTCCATCCCACAATCTCAGATCTTTCAGTATTAGACAACGAAACCATTTCTTACTTCATCAAACAAAGCAAGACAGACCAAATGAAAAAAGGCCACTTCATATACATCTTCAATCTCCAATCACCAATCCAACCATACCAAACTCTCTTCCCGTACTCACAATTCAGAAACTCTCAGACCAAGTCCCCTTCCGACCCACTCTTCACCGACGATTTCAATCGCCCCGTTACACGTTTCTGGTTCCAAAAACATCTCAAATCCATCTTACTCCAAGCAAACATCCCAGCAAATAATTTTTCCAGCCATTCATTCCGCATAGGTGCAGCAACCACAGCTGCCCAAAAAGGCCTTTCCCAGCAGCAAATCCAAGAGCTCGGCCGCTGGTCGTCGGTGGCCTTTAAGAGTTACATCCGTTCTAACCACCTCCATACCAAAGAAGCCCAACGATCCCTACTCAGCTAAACTTCCTCTCAACCCACCATAGGATCCCAGGAAGCAAGCCAAAGGCAAGTCCATTTATCGTTGCAGCAGCACCCTCTACTCCGCCCGCAGGAACTCCATTAACTCGACCAAAGTCTGATCCACTGCCGCAGCAGTGTCATCTACCCCGCTCCCGCAGGAGCTCCATTACTCCATCCAACTTGCTCCACTGCCTCAGCAGTGTCATCTACTCCGCTCCCGCAGGAGCCCCATTATTTCAAGCAAGTCTGGTCCACTGCCGCAGCAGTGTCGTGCACTCCGCTCCCGCAGGAGCTCTGTTACTCCATCCAGCTTGCTCCACTGCCGCAGCAGTGCCATCTACTCCGCTCCCGCAGGAGCTCCATTAACTTAAAGCAAGTCTGGTCCACTGCCGCAGCAGTGTCGTGCACTCCGCTCCCGCAGGAGCTCTGTTACTCCATCCAGCTTGCTCCACTGCCGCAGCAGTACCATGTACTTCGCTCCCGCAGGAGCTCCACCAACCTAAAGCAAGTCTGGTCCACTGCCGCAGCAGTGTCGTACACTCCGCTCCCGCAGGAGCTCCGTTACTCCATCCAACTTGCTTCACTGCCGCAGCAGTGTCATCTACTCCGCTCCCGCAGGAGCTCTGTTACCCCATCCAGATTGCTCCACTGCCGCAGCAGTGCCATCTACTCCGCTCCCGCAGGAGCTCCAGTTACCTAAAGCAAGTTTGGTCCACTACCGCAGCAGTGTCGTGCACCCCGCTCCCGCAGGAGCTCTGTTACTCCATCCAGCTTGCTCCACTGCCACAGCAGTGTCATCTACTCCGCTCCCGCAGGAGCCCCATTATTTCAAGCAAGTCTGGTCCACTGCCGCAGCAGTGTCGTGCACTCCGCTCCCGCAGGAGCTCTGTTACTCCATCCAGCTTGCTCCACTGCCGCAGCAGTGCCATCTACTCCGCTCCCGCAGGAGCTCCATTAACTTAAAGCAAGTCTGGTCCACTGCCGCAGCAGTGTCGTGCACTCCTCTCCCGCAGGAGTTCCGTTTACCAAAGAAGTCCGATCCACTGCCGCAGCGGTGTCTTCTTTTCCATCCACCTTATTTCCACCGTATCAGCCATACCATCCTCCTCCGTCCCTGCACCATTTACAACCTTCCACCCAAGAGGCACACCCATCCAACTCCAAGTCAACCTACTCCCGTCCTACGTTAAAAGAAACCTCCCAGCAACCACCTCTTCCCGCAGCTGATATCTTAAGCTTTACATTTCACAAGTTTTTGGGGGGTCATCAGCACCATTCTGGCGGCTGTCCTGCATTTTATTTCACAGTTTTTGGGGGAGTACTATGGGTTTGGGCCGCATACCGAGCCCGGAGCCCTCTCCTCGGACAGCACGCCAAATATGCATTTATTCTATCTGACTTATTTGTAAGTGTGAACTCGTGAAATGATGTTTTATAAACAAGGTTCGGGAGGAGCACGTTCAAATAAATCATTCCAATCAACTCGTCACCAAACTATTACATGTCTACCCTATCAGCACGAGAGGAAGCATATATAAATATCCACTGTGAACTCACCTAACATTCCTTGACAGTTTCAGCATCCCTCCACCACCCCGACTCCTCACTCCTGGCTCATTCTTCCACAGTCATGAACGGGGGAGTACTATGGGTTCGGGCCGCATACCGAGCCCGGAGCCCTCTTTGGACAGCACGCCAAATATGCATTTATTCTATCTGACTTATTTGTAAGTGTGAACTCGTGAACCTTTATTAACTGAAAAGACTATACAAATAAAAAAAATGTCACTGACCAGCTTAAGTGCTTTTTTGTAAATATAAACAAATTTTGATGGCTGCAACACACAAAAGTATAATAATAATTGTGACCAAACAAAAAAGGTTAAAGAGTTTCCAAGTTAAAACTCTTTTGAAACAGTCTACAATAAGAAGGTGAATTGGTAATAGGTGAGGGTGTAAAAGAGCTTCTCAGTCTTTGCCAGCAAAGATGGGCCATGGCTCATCACTTTGTGCCAAATATCATGTGAGAATTGACAAACAATTCAAAAATCACATTTCTAAATGCAAGGTTGCAAGGAATTTAGGTCTTTCACCTTCTACCATACATAGTATTGTGAAAAGATTCAGGCAATCCAGAGAAATCTCATTCTGTGTACGGCAAGGCAATATACCTCTTTTGAATGTGTATGACCTTTGAGCCCTCAGATAATATTGCATGAGAAACCGTCATGCTACTGTGTTAAATACAGCCACATGGGCTCGGGAGTACTTTGGAAAACTGATTTCACTTAACACAGTCTGCTGCTGCATCAAGGAATGCCACTTGAAACTCTATATCTCTATTATGCGAGGAGAAAGCTATACATCTGTTCTATGCAGTGATGACGCTGAGTTATCTGGGCCCGAACTCATCTCAGATGATACAAGAGACAGTGGAAATCTGTATTGTGGTCAGTCCACATTTCAGCTTGTTTTTTGGGAAAAACAGACATCGAGTTCTCAGTCCCAAAGACTAAAGGGACCATACAGACTTTCATCAGCGACAGGAACAAAAAGCAAACATCTGCCATGGTATGGGTATGCATCAGTACAAACGGGTGACTTGCATGTGTGTGAAGGTACCACTGACGTGGAGGCATATATTAGGATTGTACAGAGACAATGCCAGGCCTCATTCTGCAGAATCTGCACATGCTTAAACAGAGTAGTTTCTAGACACTCTACACCGTAGTAGGGATGTGCTTGACTGCCTGCCTGCAGTCCAGATCCGTCTCTTATTGAAAATGTGTGGCCCATCACGAAAAGGAGAATCAGACAACGATGACCACAGACCACTTCCACCAGCTTCACTACCAGCTGTCTTCAGGTGAGATTGGGCAAAAATTCCTCTAGCAAAACTTCAACAATTAGTATCCTCAATTCCCATTAAAAAAAACATTTAAAAAGTGTAAAAGGAAAGGTGATGTGTGACAGTGGTAAACATGCCTCTGTCCTAACGTTTTTGGAGTGTGTTGCAGCCGTCAATATCAAAATTTGTTTCTATTTACAAAATACACTTAGGTTGGTCAATGAAAACTTTGAAAATCTTTTCTTTGTCCTTTTGTCAGTTAAATAAAGGTTAAAGGGAATTAACAAATCACAGATTGATTTTATTGCATTTTACAAAATGTCCCAACTTTTTTGGATTTGGGGTTGTGTAAAAAAAAAAAATATATATATATATATATATATATATATATATATATATATACATATACACTCACCGGCCACTTTATTAGGTACCCCATGCTAGTAACGGGTTGGACCCCCTTTTGCCTTCAGAACTGCCTCAATTCTTCGTGGCATAGATTCAACAAGGTGCTGGAAGCATTCCTCAGGGAGTTTGCTCCATATTGACATGATGGCATCACACAGTTGCCGCAGATTTGTCGGCTGCACATCCATGATGCGAATCTCCCGTTCCACCACATCCCAAAGATGCTCTATTGGGTTGAGATCTGGTGACTGTGGAGGCCATTTTAGTACAGTGAACTCATTGTCATGTTCAAGAAACCAATTTGAAATGATTAGAGCTTTGTGACATGGTGGAAGTAGCCATCAGAGGATGGGTACATGGTGGCCATAAAGGGATGGACATGGTCAGAAACAATGCTCAGGTAGGCCGTGGCATTTAAACGATGCCCAATTGGCACTAAGGGGCCTAAAGTGTGCCAGGAAAACATCCCCCACACCATTACACCACCAGCCTGCACAGTGGTAACAAGGCATGATGGTTCCATGTTCTCATTCTGTTTACGCCAAATTCTGACTCTACCATCTGAATGTCTCAACAGAAATCGAGACTCATCAGACCAGGCAACATTTTTCCAGTCTTCAACTGTTCAATTTTGGTGAGCTCTTGCAAATTGTAGCCTCTTTTTCCTATTTGTAGTGGAGATGAGTGGTACCCGGTGGAGTCTTCTGCTGTTGTAGCCCATCCGCCTCAAGGTTGTGCGTGTTGTGGCTTCACAAATGCTTTGCTGCATACCTCGGTTGTAACGAGTGGTTATTTCAGTCACTGTTGCCCTTCTATCAGCTCGAACCAGTCTGGCCATTCTCCTCTGACCTCTGGCATCAACAAGGCATTTCCGCCCACAGAACTGCCGCTCACTGGATGTTTTTTCTTTTTCGGACCATTCTCTGTAAACCCTAGAGATGGTTGTGCGTGAAAATCCCAGTAGATTAGCAGTTTCTGAAATACCCAGACCAGCCCTTCTGGCACCAACAATCATGCCACGTTCAAAGTCACTCAAATCACCTTTCTTCCCCATACTGATGCTCGGTTTGAACTGCAGGAGATTGTCTTGACCATGTCTACATGCCTAAATGCACTGAGTTGCCGCCATGTGATTGGCTGCTTAGAAATTAAGTGTTAACGAGCAGTTGGACAGGTGTACCTAATAAAGTGGCCGGTGAGTGTATATATATATATATATATATATATATATATATATATATATATATATATATATATGTGTATATGTATATCATCAACAAGTTTTCCTGAAGTAAAGTTTTTTATTGTAACTATTTTTGAGATCCATATTGTTTTGTGGACACAATGCATATTTAATACAGTATACAATTACTAATTTGTGGACAAAAGGCATTTTGTGACATGTTGGGTGTATTTTGTTTCCTGTTATCCACAAAATTCAAAGTGCATTCACCATTTTGTCCATGGAAATCAGTTTGTAATTTAGAATTTTGTTCACCAAATGTGATGACTACATTTCAGATGAAAAAACAACAACAATAATTGGCTTTCGTGTTTGTGTACATAATGCATTGAAGTGTAACCAAATTTCATGAAATGCAGCATTTCGTGTCACAAAATTAGGCAGGTCATACTTGGTGACCCATACTAGTACTGACACATTTAATGTCTTGTTGATTGTAAAAGCCAAATATATGCAGTAGCAGCTCTTTAAAATGTGGTCTCATTACTCTTCAATGTAGGCCCAACTAGTGAAGGATAGACACTCGCTGATCAGAATGGGCAGTTTATACTCCGATGAAGAAGAGGAAACCATTGAAGTGTTACCAGAGAAAAACCAGATGACCTGGACTAGTGAAAAAATAGAAGCAGAAAGACGGAACCGAAGCAATGCACCAGAAAACTTCAGAGAACTAATCAGCATTAAACCGTGAGTAGGCAAGCAGGAACAAGAACTGGAATGCACCACTGCACAGTATCTGAAATAAAGTTTATAAGTTTTACTTTTTACCTTTGAACAGTAGACCTATTTGTTTTTTATTAGTAAGCATAAAGAGGATCACTGTAACCTGTTCCTTGTTGTTCTTCCTTTTTTACATGAGTAAACTATGCAGGTGTGCATGCTTGCCTATTTTCCCCAAAAGCAAAAATTAGAGCCATAGTACTTTTATTTTACATATTTGCAAAAGATATAGATTTACATTAGTTTAAATCAAAACTGTGTGTGTGTGTGTGTGTGTGTGTGTGTGTGTGTGTGTGTGTGTGTGTGTGTGTGTGTGTGTGTGTGTGTGTGTGTGTGTGTGTGTGTGTGTGTGTGTATGTGTGTGTGTGTTTGTTTGTTACAGTGACCAATCAAATGTTCGGCGGATGCACACAGCTGTGAAGCTGAATGAGGTTATTGTTAATAAATCCCATGATGCTAGACTTGTGCTGCTGAACATGCCAGGACCTCCACGCAACACAGAGGGAGATGAAAACTGTATCCTTCACAGAGAATTATATGCTCTAAAGTACTATTTTACAAGGTTTTTTTTAAATCGCTTGGACACATTTCTTAACACTTGGGTCACTTTTTTTAAACGCACAAAGTTATCTTTCAAAGTGGAACTCTTTGAGTTGAAACTATGGGAACACTTCGCATGATCCGATGTCTGAAGCACTTGTGAATATACATTTTAATTGGTTACCGCAGTCAGATGACGTCACAGATCAGCTACAAAAGGCCACCTAGAGAAAACATCAGCTTCTTTGACTTCAGGTTGTGGTTTGTGTGTGCTTGTGAATATGCCTGTTGTCAGAATAAAATAAACTATAACTGGGAGATTTATGAGATGTGTAACGCTGTGTGTGGTTTATCACACCAGATAATACACATGATTTGTGTGTCATCTGTTTAGAAGTGGAGGGGCTATGCTCACTGTGATGCCATGGTGGTGCTGCAGGTCTACAAGGCCGATCTTTTTAAGGATTCTGACCATGCCGGAAAGGGGCGGATAGTGTGGACATAGTGGTAGAAGGTGGACATCGTCGCCATTGTGACCCACTCTCTGTCTTCTCTGCCAATACCTTGGCCAGCGGTAATCTAACGTCTCCTTCCTGGAACCATAGAAATGGGTGACCATTAGCAAGTCTTTCAGTAATGGAGCAATTGGAGAAAGGAATGCTTTTTATCGCCATAGAAGTACCTCTTTCTGGGAAAGTGAAGTGAAAGTGACATGTAAAGGCCAAGTATGGTAACCCATATTTGGAATATGTCCTCTGCATTTAACCCATCCAAGTGAGTGCACACACATTAGGAGTAGTGGTGAACAAACAAACACACACACACACACACACTGAAAACCGTGGACACACACGCTGTGTCTGATGGTCGTTGATTGAGAGCAGGACGATGTGGAAGATGCTTTAGATGCTCCATTTTCAGTACTCTCTCACCAGTCTTCCAGAAAGCACTTTGTGGTTTTTCTTAGGTAGAGCAGCAGTTGAGAGAGCACAGATCTCTTATGAGGACTCTTCCATTCCTTAGGATGGGATGCTAAAAGATTTTTTCCAGTGACTTCTGGGAAAGATCAGTTGACAACAGGGGAAATACCTTGTGGCGGCTTGGAGAGACAGCTGGCAGGAGGGAATGGACCCCGATGGGACAGACTAGGGCTAGCTACCCATGCTACCCTAGCTACAAAATTTTCAGCATGTTGGAGACACCCTCTACAGCAACTTAAACACAACAAAAGAGAATACTCCTAGAGTATGCAAGAGTGGGGGTGCAAGAAGACTCATTGGCTGACAATAAGGTAATTGATTCTGGACTGGAAATGACTATGAATATTAGCAGCACGGTACAAGATAATATGGCGGAGACTGGTACAGCAACAACAGAGATGGGCCATAAATTGCAGGTATGTGCATGTGGGTGGAAAAGAAGTGGCTTAGGAGAAGAAAGGCAGAGGCTTGACTACTTTCTACATAAAGGATCAAATCAGTCAACTTAAGTGCAGCAACTGGACACAAACCATAGCTTGCAGCGCATCAATACCACTGTAACAGGGAAGGAGGACCCAAGCACAGAGTTGGCAATGGCAGAACCCAACCAGCTTTATAAACCCACAGTGGAGGGAATGATAGTGGGGCACAGACTGCAGGTAAAGTGGCCGGGTTCAGTGGATAAGAAAGTCTTGGAAACGGTTAATATTGACTTGATCAGGATCTTAGAGCAAGTGCAGGGGCCAGTGGAAAGAAAATTGGAGGTAATAGGTGATATCATCTGTCAGTGCGGTGTAGAGCGCTTTGGGGTGCAAGTAAAGAAAGGTGCAAAGAACATTCAATATGCACCAGTTTCCATGAGGCAACAGGAGATCAAGTGCCTCGTTCAGTTTTTATGTCTTTTTTTTTTCTCGCGAGTGGGATTGTTGTGTATAGTTTATCACCCGTGAAGTGCGGATAAAATGAGATTCTAAGATACTCTAAAGTTCTTCCTTAGAAGGATTTACTTTGCGGCCTGCTCCTAGCTCTGCTAGACTCGGGTCTTTCCATGCCTATCTGTTCGCTGAGGAGGCTACCTGAAACAGCTGATTGAGCTAACCAACACCGGCTAGCTTGCAACGCAAACAATAGAGGAATGGATATTGCAATTCTACTGCGGTTAGTGGCGTTCCTGTTACACTACCTGGATTTCTTCTCCTGTCTCACATACGGTTTATGTACTCTGAATGGAAAGCGGATTACATACTCGAGGCACATTCTCTTGCAAATGCAATATTATTCCCATGAAGTTGCGTTGTCTGTGAGGCTTCCAGATGAGATCCAGCAGTTACAAAGCAAGGCAAGAAGGGTGGAATTAGAGCCAGACTCAAAAGGGAAAAAAATAAATATCATGCACTCCCCTCTATTATACCAGCCAATGTGCGCTATCTGCGCAACAAAACTGATGAACTGCAAGCCAATGTCAATTACATGTATGAATATCGGACCGCATCTATTCTGGCATTTACTGAGACATGGCTTAATGCGAATGATGCTAATGACAAACTGCATATCGATGGCTTTGGATCCCCCATACGTATTGATTCAGATCCCACGCTCACAGGCAAACAGCTGGGAGGCGGTGTTTGCTTATAATGCAACAAGAGCTGGTGCACGACAACTGTTGTTAGGGAAGAACTGTGCAATGCTGACATTGAATTGTATGCTGTTTCCCTGCGTCCCTTCTATTTACCAAGGGAATTTCAACAACTGTTTTTAATTGTAGTCTACATTCATCCCAGAGCTAAAGAGTCCTTAGCCATTGACTGTATTAGACAAACGCTAGATAAACTTGAACTTATATCCCCAGACTAGGGATGTCCCGATCCGATCACGCGATCGGAAATCGGGCCCGATCACGTGGTTTCAGACTCGATCGGAATCGGACGTTCCTTCCCGATCAGGACTCGGATATATGTAAATTAGGGGTGTAACGGTACATGTATTCGTACGAGGCTTCCGGTTTGGTACGCATACAAACCGAACGATTCCTAGGACCATTTTTCTGCCGACAAAATCCGCGCTGGCGCGATCACCACAACGTTGCGCAACATCAAATGGCAAACGTAATGAAAGCGGAACGAAACTGCGCTACTCATTATATTTCGGACCAGCAACATCTGTGCAGCGCGAGATCAAGCGAAGAAAACATTTGAATTCGGCACTGAAGTAATAACATTGCTGCGAGATCTAGTGAGAAGCATTCAAATTTCTCCGTTATTAACCGTAGATCTCTATTAGATCAAACAGCGCTGACGTGGGAACCAGGAGAAACATGTGCCGTGAATGAACATGGATTTAATGTTGCACTTCAAAATTCAAATATATATATTTAAATGTTATTTTTAATGTGATTACCAAAAAATTATTTGTTCATCCTTCAAAGATTACCCCCTTTTATAAACCTGAATGTTTCAAGATGTAGGTAAACTCAAACTTATTTAAAAATATTTTTTCTTTTAATAAATAGGAAATTTCTCTGGCATTTCTTTCTTTTTGCTGTATCGTATCGTATCGAACCGCGAATTTTGTGAACTGTTACACCCCTAATGTATATATATATATATATATTAGGGGTGGGCGGTATGACCAAAATTCTATTTCACGGTATGACTCATTTTATTTCACGGTAACGATATATTTCACGATATAGATATTTCTATATGTAGTTATTCTCGAAAAATCGACAAAAAGGGCTTTGTATAATAAATAAACCCAAATACTTTAGAAATGAAAAGTACTTCACATTGTTTTCTTTTTCTCTTATTTGGTAAATGATTTATTTGGTATTTAGATAGCTAAATATAAACAAAACACACTCATCAACTTTTAGATAAACTGCCCCCAACTGATTGATATTAAATACAACTCATAGGTGCAATTAAACTTTAAATAAAGTGTTTCTGAATCATTTTTCAATCTCATGTTATGCTTTACTTCATCAATCAGTTTATAATATCAGAATATTTTATATTGAACTATTCTATTCATGATAAATTAGTTACTTCCTTTTAATTTTGTAGGATAGTAATACTAGTTGTTTAAATGTGTTCCCCGGTACATTTTTGCCATGTCTGCTTAGGCTACACTCGTTTTTAAGGGGCTTGTTTTGCTCTTTTTGTGATATCTGGCAACCCGTCACCCTGCGCTTTAACGGCTTTAATCAATAGACGTTCAGAAGTGACTAGCGGGAGAGCAGCAGTTTGAAAACCGAACAGCAGCTACTGTTAGTGTTGACTAAGTAGCCTAGTTTAAATTATACACACCTTGTAACTGCGTCATTATTTGACCATAGCCCGGTGAACACCGCGCTCCCTCAGTGCGTGTGCACGCGCGCGTCTTCTGCATCAGTAAAATGCGATCGGTTAATGTCGAGTGTCAAGTTGTAATCACGTATCGAATCAAAGGAAGATTTTATCAGCTGGTTCGGTGGCCAATTGTTTGGAGTTAGAAATATATAACTCGCGATGCATATTTAGTAATTTTGCCTTAGATAGGCTACAGGATTATACATTCACTTTAACAAGCAGGTTGTTCATTACCACGGGCGGCAAGCTGTTTGCGTGTTTAAAAACTATACATAAGAGACGGAAAGATTATAAGAGATTATTTAAGGTTATTTCTATTCGTTACGATATTGATAACTGTTGTTGTCCAGCTTTCCCCGTTACGAGCGTGCACTAATCTGTAGCCTGGGTGCTGCACTGCTCTAGTGACTGCTGCGCCTTTCCCCCCGAAAATATCACGTTAACAACAACAACCCTTTAGAAAATGTAATTCCTTTGTGGATCCTCTTGATCTGCTTTCTCCGTGTTTCTTTTTACAATTCTCAGTGTTTCAGTCTCACGCACGTTGCACGCGAGTTAACCACGCCCACTTATTTGCATTTCGCGGTATACACGGAATAAAAATATCTGTTACGGTTGACATTTTCTACCGCGGTAACGATATATACCG